CAAGAAGTAGAGAGAGGCAGATTTCTGTGAGTTTGAGGTTAACCTGATGTACATAGCTAGCTCCAGCTACATAGTGAAACTTTCTCCCCATGCCTCCCCCCAAATAAATAAAATGAAACCTACTGTTAGTTTCAAAAAAATCATCAAATTAGTTTTAAATAAATAAATAAAATTTAACCCCCTATGTATAGAGATGTAAGCTGGGGAGGGTGCCAAAATTCCTGGAGTTAATTAGCAAAGAACTCAGCTTACTTCTTCAGTAAATGGGGGCACAAATAACCCCCATGGCCTAGTGACTGCCTGCAATCAAACACATTAAGATGTCAGATGTGCTCATGTGAGTGGCATATATTGAGACCTCAGTGTGATCTTGTATTTGTCTGACTCCAAAATGATAAAATATCACTGGAGGTTCAGTTGACTTCAAAACCCAGCATCTGATTTCATCAGCTGTCCTCCTCACCCCTACCCCTGGTGAGGGGGCGGGGAAAGAGAGGCAGTATCGTGCCCACTTTAGGTGGTTTAGGATAGGCTGTTGTGTGCAAGGATCCCCCCTTCTATACTGCTGCTCTGCTCACTCCGAACCTCAGAATTGCATCAGGTACCCAGGATGGAGTAAGTTTGCCAAGACCCAAGTGGATTCAGGATGCTTGTTCGTGTCCCTGTGCCTAGTCCTGGGCACTCCTAGAATCTACTACTGCACAGCAAAGCTCTGTAGAGTTGTGAGCTGATATAGAAGCCCCTGGAAGAGGCTCTTCTTTCCATTCTCCCTGTATCTCCATCACTCAGAAATGGTTCCTGGTCAAGCATCAAGACTTGTCAGCATCTCTGTGGCTTTGGAGGTACCAGTGAGGAAAAGAAGTCTGGGAAACAGGGAAGGCTATGTCAGATGGACAGGCCCATGTGGGCAGAAGGTCTCCATAGTCTCTGGGACCTTCAGCTCCTTCATGGCTCCAGTGTGCCCAGCACAACAGATTGACTGGGCATCGGGGTCTTAGCTTAGAGAACTCTAGAAATCACTGAGGACACAGGACACTGGCCTTCAAAGAACTCAACCCTAAGTCCACTGTAGTGAGGCCTGGCAGTTTCCCCTTCCTTGTAAGCAAGAAAGGAGAGGTCCCTGGTCTGTGAGCCTTCTCAGAGGCCTTTAGCTCTCAAGTTCTCTGCTTTTTTCACTCCGAGGAAATCCTCAGCTGGTTCCTGTGGGGACAACCCAAGAACACTGCTGGAATCCCAAAAGTCCAAAGTTTACAGCCAGATTTCTTTTTCCCCTTCCTTTCCCTCTTTGCCAGATGTCTGCTTTGTGAACCACAGTGCTTCACTGGTGGCAACGGGGAGGCCCTGGCCCTTCAGGGACAGAGTCCAGCAATGGGGGAGGGAAGTTGTTTGGGGCAATGTTTATGCTGAGTTTAGCAGTTTCTAAACCTAAATTCAGGGAGTGTGGGAGGTGTGGTCATCTAACCCAGCAGAGTCTGGGTGCCTTTCTAACCTGGCCAAAGGTGGAGAGGGGGCTAACAGCAAAGCAGATCCAAGGAAGGTCCATAGGAGATGAATCCCACAGGAAAGTGAGACATCTGTACCTCAGCTGTTTAAAGACAATAATGAGAATGGCAGACCCTAGTGAAACCCCTAGGTCTGGGGTTTAAATAGGAATGTATGAGATGTCAGGAAATGCTGGAGTTTGAGTTTAGGGTGGTGGAGGCATTCCTGAAGGCTTAGGGCCAGCTTGAGCAAGGCCCAAAAAGGAGTAAAGTCAAAATGGAGTCCACTCAGGACATCACGGAGAGAAGAGATGACCAGCAAGAAAAAGGGAAGTGGCTTTTCTTTTTTTAGTGAGACAAAGAAGCAGAGAGTCAGTGCCGGGTGGCAGTGGGTGTCTGCTCAGCGTCCTCGGCCCCAGGTTGTGGGAAGAGAGACTGAGTGTGGGTTGGCAAAGGTGAGGACTTGAGGTTCAAGAAGCCCATGTGACAGTTCTAGCCGAGTGGGGAACTTCCAAATCATACCTCAGAAGGCTGAGGAGGCAGCAGTTAGTAAGAAACAGAGAGGAAGCTGGCTGCAGTGTCCACAGCCCAGGTTATAAAACTACTGGAACATTCCAAGCTACAGAGTCACCTCTACCTCTGCTCTGAGGTCTCCACTGAATTCAGGCAAAGCTGCCTGCGTGGTGCCCCTCAAAGCTCACCCAGCCCTGCTACCCAATAGGTGTTGAGCCTAATTGTCTCACCCCACAGACTGGAAGCTCCAGCAGAGCAAGTGTGGGATGAATAGATTTGTTTATCCCTCTATCCTGGCAGGTGCCTTGATGAGCATCTGACATCCTCGATATGTGACAGGGATGGGACCATTATCACTTCACAGATGGAGAACTGGCTCCAACAGAGGAGGTGTGTGTCATGTCTCACAATTCCTGGGATTTGATGCCCAATTGGACTCACGGCCTGATGTCTCACTCACTTCCCACACATCCGGTGTTTCTGACAAACAGGCCAATCCAGAGAACCTGCAAAGCCCAGGCCAGAGAAAGTGGGGTTGGGCAGCAAAGGCAGCGGGCAGTTCTCAGGCCCTATCTAAAGTGGGCTGGCCTGGAGATGACTGGAGTGTGCTTAGCTTCTCCTTAAGTCACTGTCATTTACACAGGGTTTCTTTCGGTTCCCTCTGGGGGCACAGCTTCCTCTAACTCCCTCTGTGCCTTTACTCATACCTTGGCTGTGCCCAAAGCTGACAAGGATACTTCTTATCACAAGCACATCTGTGACAGGGTCATGTCACTGGTGGGGGAGTCACCGGGCCTCCTGATGACCTCCTAGGACTATGGAGTCTTTCTGCACCCTGTTGGGCCCCTGAATGAGCAAGGGGAACTGAGATTAATTTTAAGCATCAGAGTGGGGCCTCACTTCCCCTTTGCTCGTGACAGTGCACAGGAGTCTAGAAGACCCTTCGTTCTTGGGATAGCTGGAGTTCTGCTCACTGAATGAGCACTACCCTTTTCCTTCCTCCAGAAACATGTCACTGGCTCAGGACAGTTTTTGGCTAAGGGGCTCCTTGGCAGAGAAACAGAATCTGAATGGAGCAGAATCTCTTCAAGAGCCCCATTTATCCTATGGCCTGTCACTGATGCTTAGGCCTCAGCTGCCCCAGTGCAGGCATGCACCTCCATGACTGGATCCAACCATGGTTTAAAATTTTTAAAAAATATGAAACAGAAGGATATGTGGTTCAGTGGTAAAGTTCCTAGCATATGTGAGAGGGTGATATATTCAGCGGATACAAATAATATATTTCCATTTTATATTCTGCTACAATGAGAGTCGAGGGAAATATACAGAGAGAAGGAAAAACAAAACAAACCCGCTGGATTCTCTTTGCTCATTGAAGTCTAATCCAGACATCCCTGGGAAGGCAGCAGAGGTGAAGGAAGAAGCCAAAATTCTAATTAATTAATACCATTGTATCTGTCAGCAATCCAAGGCTATAAAATGTAGAGGGTAAACAGTATGTCTACAATGTATATATTTTACTTACTAGCTAAAGTGAACAAGGGGGAGGGGCTAGCAAGATGCTGACAAGCCTGACAACATTAGTCCAATCCCTGTGTCAGGCATACAAAGAAGAGAGCTGACGCCTACAAGTTGTCCTCTTATGTGCTTATGTGCACCCACAGATATACACACAAAATACATGTAATAAAACTTTAATTTAATAACTCATTCAGAATATTTGTTTATTAAAAATATCTCTAGGACTGGAGAGATGGCTCAGTTGTTAAGAGCACCTGCTGTTCTCGCAGCAGACCTGGGTTCAGTTCTCAGCACCCACATGCCATGCTCCTAAGAGTCTCTAACTCCAGTTGCAGAGGATCCAACGCCCTCTTCTGGTCTCTGCAGGAACTTCATGTTCACGATGCACATACATGCAGACAAAATACTCATATACATAAAAAATTAAATAAATCAATAAAAAGAATTAAGATGGAAATACACACACACACACATATATATATAACATACATATATATATATAAAATCACCAAATCTCAGATCAGGAAAATCGTTTGATTCTAGGAGTTGGAGACCAGCACAGGAAACACGACTTTTTCCCTTAAAAAAAGGGTTAAAAAACCTGCCAGGCAGTGGTGGCGCAAGCCTTTAATCCCAGCACTTGGGAGGCAGAGCCTGGGGGATTTCTGAGTTCCAGGCCAGCCTGGTCCACAGAGTAAGTTCCAGGACAGCCAGGGCTACACAGAGAAACCCTGTCTCGAAAAACAAAAAACAAAAAAGTTAAAATCCAACAAACAAACACAATAATCCAGTCCATTATGCTAGGGCATAGCAGGCTTTCACTTAGTAGCAGAAACCTAAGATTTTGGGTTCCATCATCAGTAACAAATATAAAACCAACCAACCAATAACACCAAAGCTGACTCAAGGAGTAGACCTTCCTGAGAAAACCACTTAGACTATCAAATAATATGATGCTGACCCCAAACGTTGAAGAATGGGAATCAGCGAATAATGTTCCTACATGAACAGATTGTGTGAAAGTTGAGGCCAGCGTCGACAGGCCCGTGTATGGAAACAGGGGTGATGGGGGTGGGAACCCGCTCAAACGGCAAACCCAAACCATGGCGAAAGATGAGGTGGGCTTGGCAGTCACTTGGTGATTTGGAGTTGTAGGAAGGGCGAGAGGTAAGGCTGAGGAGACAGCGGCCCAGGTATGTTGAAAAGGAGCTCTCAGTCTCCTCAAAATGCCCTGGAGTGTGGCTCCATTGACGCCCGTGCGCAGCGGATCTCCAGCTCCAGGCGGGCGCAGACTAGGTGGGGACAGGCTACAGGGTGTCTGGGGACTGGGTGATGGGTGACTCTGTCTCCCCGGATTCCCGAAGGAGTCTGGCTAGGGGCCCCGAGCTGCTTGCCGACCCGAGCCTCCCTGTGGTGGGCGGTGGACGGGTCGGTGCAGGGGGCGCAGGGTTGGGGCGCAGGGTGGTGGCGAAGGGCGGGGCGGGGCGCTGCCCCGGGCGGGGGCGGCGCGATGCGGAAGTGCGGGGCGGACTGGGCGACCCGCGGGCGGCGCAGCTCGGCGAGAGCTCAGCTCGGCCGCAGCGCCAGGCCGGGGCTCCAGGCTCCCCGCGGGCGCACGGCAGACAGGTAGGTCCCGGGGCTGTGGGCTGTGCTGGGCCCCGCGCCCCGAGGGCGGTGGGAACCATCCCGGGCTACTGCCAAGCCACCGCTCCGACCCGCGGCGACCTGCTCGCCCGGGGCACCTGCCAGCAGGGCCGGCGGGGTCGGGATCCCGCTCCTCCGCGGTGGGCGACGATCGCAGGCAGCGCCGGGCCAGCGCGAACCTCTCCAAGGCGCCCGGTGCCGGGCCAGCTCGGAGTGCCGGGCTCCGGCCGCCATCGTTCCGCATGCGCGGGGAAAGTCCCGAGGGCCCGGTGGACATCCTCTCTGCGCCTCGCCGGGGTCAGGGATGCGAAGCGCCCTGTCGCAGTGTGGCGGGGACCACCGAGGAGCGAGGTTCCGACCCCGACCCTTTCCGCGCACAGCCCGTCCCTCCTTCCCGGCCACACCTCACTTTTTCGGCTAAAGAGGTTGAGGTTTCAAGCAGCCATCCCTCCCGAGGATCTTAAAGTCAAGGACAGGAATCTGTGGGAATAGAGTTTGAGGGGAGACGGTGTCAAACATAGGCGCCCCGCTCCTTGACTCGTGGCTCAAAAGGGGACGCTGATTTTCTTAGCAGTCGAGAAGAATCGGGGCGGAGGGGTGCATAATGCCTCTGAACTTAAGAAGGAAACAAGTAAGAATCGGACCGTGAAGGGAAAGTGTTAGTAGTTTGGCCGAAACGCTGACAGAGAGATGTCCCGGGCTAGCATCCGACCTCGGTGCAGGTGTCTCCCAGACCTCAGGTGTCTCTCGAACACACAAAGGACCCAGAGCGGGCACCTACTAGCAGGGTTGGAAGTGGGGGCTTTTCTGGCCTCCTGGCATAGCAGGGCGAACACGTCCCTGGCCAGAGGAGCGGACCAGGAGTCGATACTAAGCCAGCTTCCCGAGGTGCCTCCAGGGGCTGACACAGGACCCCCCACCCCAACCCCAGCGTTATGCCCCGGGTGGAGTCTGCAGGGATGATCACTAGGAAACACGGCCTGGTCTGAACCCCAAAGTGAGGATAAGGGAACAGGACCAGAAAGGATGTGGGCCGGGCAGACGGAGGCTGGAGAGCTGGAGGCCCTCTCGGGAGAACCTGTGATACAGTCTCGCTCCCTCCTCCCTAAGATCCTGGCTAAAGACTAGGGAAGAGTGGGTAGGAGACCACTCCTATTAACTAAAAGTCCTTCGGGGCTTTCCCTTGCGCCCTGGCCTTCCCCAACCTGCCCCTGGGAGGAAGCCGAGAGAGGGTTCTTCCTGCCGCACCTGCTGCCCCAGAATCTCAGCCTGTGTGCGCTGCGAAGGGGCAGGGCTCTGGGCGTGTCGCTCACCTGGAGAGGGCGGGATTTATGCTCGTGCTTAGTGCAGGTAACCCCTTGCCTTTGCCTTAACTGGGTGTAGGGTTTAGACCCAGACAATTCGAGAGACAGGAGGGCTGTGAAGCTCTGCCTCTGTAACTTCCATTATGGCAGGATCCCACCAGCCCTCCGCAGTTCTCAGTGATCTGACTGCCCAGGCAGCCTCTCCTGGGACTTCATGACCCTGGGGTGAGCTGCGGGGACTCTCCATGCCAACGGGACTCAAGGGCTGCTTCTGTGCCCCATCACCTGTGGGATGCTTCCTGAGGTCTTCAGCGGTCCATACCCATTGTGACATGGAAGGGGGGGGGTCTGTTCATCTCTCCTTCTACAGGGTTCGTAGCCAGACAGCTCAGTTGGGGTGTCAGCATTGATCTTACCCCAAACCTCCAGACCCAGAAGAGGGCAGCCATGTTTAGACACTCCAATTGAGAACTGGCAGGTCTAGGATCTGACTCAGCTCTGAGCCTTTCTTTGGGCAGGAGGGAGCTTCTGTGGGTGGATGCTGAACTTGGTCCTGCTCGGGGAAGGCTCCTGTGGATCTAGCTGCAGATGGAGCCTTCTGGCGCTAGATGAATGCACCCTCTTGCCCCTGGCAGCGGCTGCTGTGGGGATCCCTTCTCTATGTCACCACACCATCTAAAGGGACTGCCACTTCCTAACACCGAGGCCAGTGCAACAATTTCAAAACCTTTCTCTGAATTTAATTCATCATCTTCATCTTCATCATCATCATCAGGCTGACACAGAAGGCTGCAGTGGTCCTTGGTCCCTGAAGCAGGGTAGTGAGTGTTCTGTTCTTCCTGTTTATACTACTCTTGGCTGGCTGTGGGACTGTGTGTGTGTGTGTGTGAGTGTGTGTGTGTGTGTGTGTGTGTGTGTTTTCAGGATATCTTGCCTATCCTTGTGTCCACCTCCCTATGGTCAGAACTGCTGGCTGCTGGCCACATCACCCTCCATTCTCAGCTCAAGGCTGCTTTAAGCTATAAAGACATAGGTGTTACATAGGTGTTGTCAGTAGACTTGGGAGACAGGGACTGATCTAGAGGATGGGGTGGGGGTTGGTTTGCAGAGACTCTTACGGATTTTCTCTATGACCCCTCCCTCCATCAGCCCACAAGTCAGCCCAGTGAGTCAGATTTCTGAGTTGTCCCATCGGGCCACTTTCGTTTCCCTTAGGTCAGGGTGGTGGCTGGTGTAGAAAGAGGAACTAAGCCACCTCTTCTTAAGCTTGGGGGCAGGGCTGGGAGCCTTTCCATCCTCTCAGTCCAAAGCTGGCATTAATATTCATGGGTCTCAGGCAGCTGAGGCATGCACTGCTCCCAAGTCTGTAGAGGGATACTTGGCCAGCCTGGATGGGGCATATGGCAGCCACAACCCAAAAGATACTAGGTGGGGAACTGTAGGGGAAACTGAGGCTCCATGCTGCAAAACCCAAGTAAGCCCACTCAGTTTTGTTCTTTGACCTGCTGAACAAGAGATCGTCTTCTAAGGAGCTGCTGGCACAGTGGCCTCTCTCTTCACTGTCTCTGATACCCCTCCCCCCCAGTCCAAGAGTTCAAGATCAAGAATATGGGCAAGGGAAGTCAAGAGCTTCCCAGGAGGGAAGATGGGTGAGAGAGAGGGAGCTCTGGACTGCTGTAGGTTTCAGGTTCTGTCAGGAGGACAGGAAGCAGGCAGAGGGAAGGGCACCAGGGTTTCACGGGTCCTGTGGACCTAACTCTGGTGAGACAGAGACCGTGGCCTGCCAAAGTGCTTACCTTACAAGCTGTTGTAGTAGTATTTCATCTCAGTCGGGGGTTTCTACCCTGCCTTTGATCATTCAGTTCCCAGATAGAAGACACTCAGCTTTTATATCTATAATGACCCTTTAATGCACCAGAGCTGGGCAGATACCTACCCTCTGTGCCATTATGTCTGCTTCTCCATCAAGAACCCCACCATGTTCCATCTGGGCTGCTCTTAACTCCAATTGGCCAGCCCTCATGGCCATGTTCTCATGACTCACTTACCCCTTGGCGTCTTCTCCTTCCTCTACCATCTCTTCTCGCTTGTTGACCTCCTCAGACCCCAGGCCTGGGAAACAAAAGTGCCTATCTTTCTTCTGCCCAGTTTCAGGCTGCAGGCATCTTTATTCACCAATCAGGGATAATTTGGGGGGCAAGATTCCATAGCATCACTTGGGTCTGCACGAGAATCTCCCCCTCCCTGGGTTAACCAGGCCCGGATTTAGCATTACAGTACATAGCAACAGACGGGACCTCAACAGGAAGCTGTTAGAGCTTGGTCGGCGCCTCCTGCCACCATGTGTGTGGCACAGGTCTGTAAACAGGAGCGCCAAATGGATGTGAGGGAAGGGGCAGGAACCAGAAGCAAAGTCATTGATGGCTTCAGGGTGGCACCATCTAAGCCAGGTATCTGTGTCACTGGAGTGGATTAGTGAGGATTTCTATAAAGAGCTCAAGGGGAAAGAAAGCTTCATTCCTGAGAGAACTGAGGAGAAATGCCAGAGCTACACGTGATCTTAGCCAAAAAGCCAAAACCTCCAGGTCCTGAGAATGAACCCATCCCTAACCCCTCTCACACAGTTTGCTCCTGTCTAAGGCCAACTTGTGCTGGAAGCCTGAGACAAGAGTCTAGGTTAGAGGATTTGTCAGGGATGGGAAAGGACACTTTCAGGGGAAAGAAGTGGAGTAAGCTGCAGAGGAAAAAGCTGAGCAGAGACAGGACAGATAAGGCATGGTGAAATAGCCAACCCCAGAGAAGCACCCATCAATCTCACTAGCCCATCTCTATGCAAGGGAGCCAGCTTTGACTGTGGTGTGACTTCACAGAGATGGGTGGCTTGACCTGGAGAATAAGGCACCCCGGACAATTCTCTAGTGAAGCAGCAGCTGGGTACTGATCACACTCAACAATGGGTGGTCCATTGAACGAAAGTGCCCACAGCACCCATTAGCACAGGTTTCCTTCTCCCCTAGCATAGCACACAATCTGAGCGAGCTGTGACAAGAAGCTGAGGGAAAGCAGCCATGGCCTCAGACACCTAGACGGACTGGGGTGCTCATCCGTATGACCTCTCCACCCAGGGCATGGAGCATCTTGCTATCAATTTGTAGAGCTATGCTTTGCTTTCTCCCACAGAGCCCTTTGCCATGAACCAGTCAGCCCCTGGGATCCCCCCACCACCCCGCCGTGTGAGGCTGAAGCCCTGGTTGGTGGCCCAGGTAAACAGCTGCCAGTACCCAGGCCTTCAGTGGGTCAATGGAGAAAAGAAACTCTTCTATATCCCCTGGCGCCATGCCACAAGGCATGGTCCCAGCCAGGATGGAGACAACACCATCTTCAAGGTAAGCTTTGGATAAGGTGCAGCCTGGACTTCTGGGGTAGCCCCTCCCCAGGAAAGAGCCCTCTCGAGTAGAGAGAGGTACAGTCATCTCCTGCCAGCTACAGTGCTCAGGGGATCCCACACCTAGACTCAGGGACACAGGACCACCTTTTCTAGTTTGTAGCCTAGAGCAAGATGGAGATGGAAGGTCTCCAGGAGGCCATCCTGTAACTCCGTGTCGGACTCCTTGCTCTTGATTTACTGTCACACAGGACTACACATGACACATACTATACCACATGCACTAAATGACGTAACCCACTCGTCTTTCGGTTTGGGTCTGGGTTTTGTGTCAGGGTCTCACTATATAATGCCCAGCTGACCAGACTCGCCTGAGTAGTTAAAGGCTAGCTTGACTTGTCATCTTCCTGCCTCAGTTTCCCAAGCGCTGAGATTATAGACATGTACCACCATGTCCAACAAACCCTAATCCTGAACAGGCCCTGCTACAATAGTTTTACAACAGAATATATAATGTTTAAGGTTTCTATATAGGTATATGATAGGCGAAATTGGAATCTAGTCACATTTAAGAACGTTTAAATATGGCTTGAGATAGGGTCTCCCTATATATTGCTGGTCGGTCTGGAATTCACTATGTAGATTAGAATGGCCTTAAACTTGTGGCAGTCCCCCTACCTGTCCCTCCAGAGTGTTGAGATTAAGCAGGTGCCACCATGCCTAGCTAACTTTTCAAAGAACTCTTTGTGCTAGGGATCAAGGCTATCCTTGCTCATGCTATGACACATTTCTCACTAAGGGACAACCCCACCCCCATACTTTATTTATTTATTATTTTATATTTCCTGAAACATTCTCACATAGCCCAGGCTGGCCTCAAACTTGTTATGTAGCTGCTTCTGGCCTTGAACTTCTGATATTCTGCCTGCCTCCATCTCTGAAGTGCTTGGATGGATTACAGATATTCACCAAGACACTCAGCCCATTTTTTTTTTTATATTTTTATTTACTTATTTATGGGGAGTGTGCAGACACCACAGTATGTGTGGAGGTCAGAGGTCACCCTGGAAGAGATGGTTCTCTCCTTCCACAGTTTGAGTTCCAGGGATCAAACTTAAGTTGTCAGACATGGTGGCAAGTGCCTTTATGTGTAGAGCCATTTCACGGGCCCACACATACTCGTTTGTAACTGGTGTCTTTTCCCCCAATGTCAGGATGAGCTTTCCTCTCCAAGAAACATCCGCTTCACTTTTTGTGACCATTGAATAACCCACCGGAAGGATTCAGTATAACTCAGACACCCAGTCCCAGTTTCTGTACACTTCAGACTGTTCTAGATTGTGGTTCCGTGCATGACTTCTCCTAAATTCTACCCTTTGTTTTAATGGTCAGATTAAATGGTCTAGCATTCAGAGTTTAATAAAATTGTTAGCCCAAAGAGATGCTGATTTAAAAAACTTTGGAATCTTCTTTTTTTAGCCTTTGAACTTAATCCTTACCACAATGTGTGTGGATGTTTCTATATTCTATATAGTTCTATCAAAATTAAGTTGCTAGTTTAAAGAGAAGACACACTTATAATCCTGGCATCACCAAACTGTCATGCAAAAATAAGATCAATTAGGAGTGAGGGTCAGAGGTTAGGAGGCTGTGCTTAGCAAGTGTGAGGTTCTGTTCCATCACTAACATAACAACAACAATAACAATAATGTTGATGATAGTTGGGCTGGAGGCACAGGCCCTATAATCCCAGCACTTGGGGAAATAGAGACAAGTGGATCAAGAGTTCAAGGCCATCCTTGGCCATTTAGCAAGTTTGCAACCAGCTTGGGCTACATTAGGCACTGTCTCTAAAGAACAGAAGAAGGAGAAGGAGAAAAAGAAGAAGAGGAGGAGGAGGAGGAGAGGAGGAGAAGAGGAAGAGGAAGAGAGGAGGAAGACAGGAGGAGGAGGAAGAAGAGGAAGAGGAGGAGGAAGAGAAAGAAAAAGAAGAAGAAGAAGAGGAGGAGGAGGAGGAAGAGGAGGAGGAGAAGAGGAGGAAGAAGAAGATGACAACAACAACAAAGCCACAAGAATAACACTGATCATTGATGCATACCTACGTGTGGGTAGAGTTCAGAGTACCTTAAAGGTGTTGACTTCTTGAATCTTCTCAGGTACAATCAAGGAGGATCCAAACAGAGGCAACTCCATTTGGTCTGCCTGGCTTCAAACTCAGCCTGGCTCCAAGCCACAAGCTCTCTTCTTTAACTTGTTTTCTCATGTCCCTTTGAGATTGTACCTCTTTGCCCTCCTAGCAGCAGTGAGTAGAATTCATTGAGTTTGTCTCAACTTGGAGGGTTGGACAAGGTCTGGTCTTATCCAAGTAATGAGCCTGTCTGGCAAGGCTTAGCTTGGTGGCCAAAATTCTTAGCATTGACCTCTATACGACAAGAGAGTTGCTAGGGCCTCAGTGACAGTTAAGGTCCCCTGTAATCCGCAGCCCTCTTTTCCTTCCATAGGCCTGGGCTAAAGAGACAGGGAAGTACACAGAAGGGGTGGATGAGGCTGACCCAGCCAAGTGGAAGGCCAATCTGCGCTGTGCCCTTAACAAAAGCCGTGACTTCCAGCTCTTCTATGATGGCCCTCGAGACATGCCACCTCAGCCCTACAAGATCTACAAGGTCTGCTCCAATGGCCCTACTCCTACAGGTACAATGCCTGGCCCTGTGTGACCACCTGGAAAGCTGTGACCTCTGGGTGCAGGAAAACCCAAGGACCCTCCAGGGTGCGCCGCGGGGGCTGTGCTAGCTCATCCCCCAGGACACCTGGCTCTGGGTGCTTCTTCCTTACCCTTGCCCCTGCTCTGGGTCTTGGCTTCAGGGGAGGTCTTTGTCTGCTGCTTCTTGATGCCAGCTCTTTGACTCACCCGTATATGGGCAGCTTCATGGCTGACATGGAACCCCAGGAGTTTGGGCAATCTCTGGCTGCTCAGACGGAGCCACAGCCAGCTCTGGCTCCCGTGTTATCACTGACTTCCTGCTTTGCTCTCTCTCCCTCCTCTCGCAGAGTCCCAGCCCACTGATGATTACGCTCTGGGAGAAGAGGAGGAGGAGGAAGAGGAAGAGGTGTGTGGGGATGAGTTGTGGGGAGGGGCTGCACTCATCAAGCTCCTGTACTCAGTAAGCTCTGATGAGGCCGGCCATGGTGGGCTCTGCTGCCCTGCCCTGCCTTAGGATTGAGCACACCCTTCCTCTGTAGCCCACTGTCCTCTACAGCTCTTCTTTGAGTCGTCCTTTGATGGTTCTGAAGGAGAAGAACAGAGTCGCCATCTTGTCCCTCCTAAGGCTTTATTGTTGCATAGTGTGTCACATGTCTGCCTGACCACCACAACAGTTGGGCGTGGTGGGTGGCACTGCCTGCAGAATGCACATTTGGAAATGGGGACACCAACAGCTTTCATGACCTGTTGAGGATGGCAGATCTGGGGTCAGCGGTGGAGGCTGAGGGGTTGCCTTTTGTTTTTTGAATATCGCTTCCTCAGCATCAGACTGATTTAATAACTTGTCCTTCCTTCCCTCCTCCTTCGCCCGGGTCTTCCCTTCAGCTCCAGAAAATGCTACCAGGCCTGAGCATCACAGGTGGGGCTGGGCAATGGTGTGGTTGGGGGTGGGCATGTAGCGTAAGAAGCGATGGGTGTTCCAGGAACTTGAGAGGGCACTGAGAGGCTCTGGGAGGCAGGCCTGGGAGATAGTTCTAAGAGGTGGCATTAACAGCTGTATCCACTCCATCCTCTGCAGAACCTGTGCTACCTGGGCCTCCCATAGCACCATATTCCTTACCCAAAGAAGACACCAAGTGGCCACCTGCTCTCCAGCCACCTGTAGGGCTGGGTCCCCCTGCCCCAGACCCAAATCTCCTGGCCCCTCCTTCTGGAAATCCTGCTGGCTTCGGGCAGCTTCTCCCTGAGGTCCTGGAACCCGGACCTCTGGCTCCCAGCCAGCCCCCTGCAGAACAACTCTTGCCTGACCTGCTGATCAGCCCCCACATGTTGCCTTGTAAGGACCTTGGTGGGCCAGGCAGGTTGGCAGGGCAGAGTAGTGGGGATGGAGCAGGGTTGCATGGAAGGAGGGTGGTGAAGAAAATAAGCTTTTAGGCCAACCTTCCTAGATCCAGGATGAACCAGGGAGGCTGGGGAAGCCGGGCCTACCAGCTGACTGATGAATAGCCATGGGGCTCACAACCAGGGCAACCTGATTCTCTGTTTCACAGTGACCGACCTAGAGATCAAGTTCCAGTACCGGGGGCGTCCACCCCGGTCCCTCACCATCAGCAACCCACAAGGTTGTAGGCTCTTCTACAGCCAGCTAGAGGCTACCCAGGAGCAAGTGGAACTCTTTGGCCCTGTGACCCTGGAGCAAGTGCGCTTCCCTAGCCCAGAGGACATCCCCAGTGACAAACAGCGTTTCTATACGAACCAGCTGCTAGATGTCCTGGACCGTGGGCTCATCCTGCAGCTGCAGGGCCAGGACCTGTACGCCATCCGTTTGTGCCAGTGTAAGGTGTTCTGGAGTGGGCCCTGCGCCTTGGCCCATGGCTCCTGCCCTAACCCCATCCAGAGGGAAGTCAAGACAAAGCTCTTTAGCCTAGAGCAGTTTCTCAACGGTGAGGTCTGTTCTGTGCTCCTCCTGGCTGCTCTTCACTCAGGATAGGGTAGTAACCTCTAACTAAAGGCCTTAATCTTGATGCAGAACTCATCCTGTTCCAGAAGGGCCAAACCAATACCCCACCACCTTTTGAGATCTTCTTTTGCTTTGGAGAAGAATGGCCTGACCTCAAACCCCGAGAGAAGAAGCTCATTACTGTACAGGTATGTTCCTAGCCGGTTCTGATGTAGCTTGGATATTAGGAGATATGGGGCTGGGCCCTTGGCCCAAGGGCGAGGTGGGGCCATCCAGGCCATGAGAAATTGGTTGCTAGGGCTAGAGGAGACTCTCTACCATCTGCTTCTGGATGTCTCCAAGCCCAGCTGAGTCCCAGCTTGGTTGAAGAGCCCGGGCACAATTCTCCTTGTCCTAAGGAGTCTTCCCTTTGCTTCCCAGGTGGTACCCGTTGCAGCTCGGTTGCTGCTGGAGATGTTCTCAGGGGAACTTTCTTGGTCGGCAGACAGCATTCGGCTGCAGATCTCAAACCCGGATCTCAAAGACCACATGGTAGAGCAGTTCAAAGAGCTGCATCACATCTGGCAGTCCCAGCAGCGGTTGCAGCCCATGGTCCAGGCCCCTCCTGTGGCAGGCCTTGATGCTGGCCAGGGGCCCTGGCCCATGCACCCAGTTGGCATGCAGTAATGAGGCTACAGATAGTGGCTGACTTGAACTTCCTAGGGGAGCCGTGTAGACTGATATAGCAATGTAATAGCCCCAGCAGGCCTAGTTGGCTGCAGGGTTCTGAGTCTCCTGGAAGCAGTCAGGGTAACAAGGACATAGAAGAGAGGCCTGAGGTTACATTTTCCCTAAACATTTTCTATGTGAGCACCACCTTCTGGTGATTTCTTTAATATGCCTGGCTCTGAAGAAATGAAGCCAGCAGCCCCAGTGGGAGGGAGGGAACATCACTAGCCTGAGGCCTTCAATACACAGGTCCAATTACCCCAGGGTAGCCAACTTTTAAGGTTATCCCAATCCCTCGAGCAAAACCTGTCAAGGAGTGTTGTGGGGCTTGTGTAGAGAGTGGGCCTGATTTGGGGGTTCCCTAGTTTGAATCTTCTCATCATGCTTGTGACAAGGATTTTGCCAGGCATTTAGGGCTGACAGCTACCCTCCTTCAGAGTTTAAGAAGCTGGGACAGAAAGAATTTAATATATTTTTGGATTAATAAATGTTAAAAGCAGGTTTGCCTGTTTATTGACTGTTTCCAGTGCCAGTGGCTTCTGTTGTCCTGAACTGTCCAGCTGTCAGTCAGCTGGCCTCAGCACCTGTTCTCTGGCAGTGGTGCCTGGCACAGGAGCTGGGGAGGCCCTGCTTTCCTGTCAGTGAGTCAACCTGGCCTTCACACTCACCTGGCTGGTTTAGCTTTCAAGGAGGAAGCAGACTGAGACAAATGTGGAATTCTGAATGTGTGCTGTCTAAAAACTGTCCAAACCTTCCCATAAGAGAATGAAGAAATAATAATTGGGGTTCTAGCCGCACTTCAGGCCATCAAAACCTGGAATTTTTTTTTTAATTTAATTTTCTTTTCTTGAGGCCAGACTGGCCTTAAACTTGTGGTATTAACTGAAGCTGCCTTTGAACTCCTGATCTCTGTCCTTGCCTCTGTTTCCTAAAGTGGCTAATCTAGTAGCCTAAGTGGTAGAGGGCTTGCCTAGCAATGCACAAGGCCAAAGGTTCGATTCCCTGTAACAGACATTCAAAACAAAGCTTTAGCTGGGTGTGGTGGCTCACGCCTGTAATCCCATCACAAGGAGGCCTAAGACAGGAAGCTAAGCAGTTCAAAGCCAGCCTAGAACAGGCAGCCTTCAGTAAGAGCTGAACATGTTTAAAACACAAGTCTTGTCTTCTTGAATTACCCCAGGGTAGCCAACTTTTAAGTTTTCCCCAATCCCTCTAGCAAAATCTGCCAAGGAGTGTTGTGGGGCTTCTGCAGAGAATGGGCCTGATTTGGGGGTTCCCTAGTTTGAACCTTCTCAACATCCTTATGACAAGAATTTATGACAGGCATTTAGGGCTGGCAGCTACCCTCCTTCAGAGTCTAAGAAGCTGAGGCAGAGTCGAAGAAACTAATACTGATATTAGGATACTACATGCAAATTGGTGGCTCAGGAATATTCTAGTCCAAACAATTGTTTTATCTTTTTGGGGAGGTTTATGAGGGTGGTGGGGGTGGCAAGGTCTATTATGCAGCCCTACCTGTCCTGGAGCTTGCTCTGTAGACCAGGCTGGCTTTGAACTCAGGAGGTACATCTGCCTCTGCTTCCAGTGATGGGATTAAAGATGTGTGCCAACGTGCCTGAGACATTTTATCTTTTTATTATGGAAGACTTTATACATTTGTGAAAATAGAACAATAACGGTATGAAAACCTCTGTACCAGTTTTAAAGATTATCAATTGAATGTACTCTTTCTCATTGCAACTCCCAGCCAGGCTCCCTACAGTGATTATTTTTAAGTAAATACTAGAAAGAACATTTCATATATATCCTCCTAAAACCATTCCCCGCCCCCTGCCCTGGGGGGATGTTCTAAGGTTGTGAGCTAAAATTCCCAGCTATTAAAGAAAAAAAATATTTTTCCTTTAAAGAAAAAAAAATTCTTACCAAGTATCCAGTTTATGAGGCTAGAGATGGCTGTCAATAAAGTGCTCACAAGGACCCAACTTTGGATTCCCAGCCCATGTTACAAAAAAAGAAAAAAGGAAGGAAGGAAGGAGGAAGGTAGGTAGGTCAGGCATTAAGGTGTATTTGTCATTAGGAGGCAGAACAAGGGAATCCCCAAATCTCACTGGTCCAGGTTCTATGATATCTTGTCTCAAAGAATTAAGGAGACTGTCCTCCACATACGTACATACACATTCACATGAACTTGTACCAGCCGTCACACACAATCTAGTGCTCATAAATTTAAGGCAGCCAAAGAACTTCTCCATTAGTGGCGAAACAGCACTGTTCCCAATTACACCTGCTGAGTGACATATTTTGTATGTTGCTGGAGTCCAGAGGCTTGATTGGATTCAGGTTGTGATTTTTGACTACTAATGAATGAGAATTTGAGTTTCCCACATTGATTCTTAAAATAACAGAGAGGGCCAGAGAAATGGCTCAGCCAGTAAAGGTGCTTGCCACCAAGCCTAATGGTGCAATTCCAGCAACCTACGTGGTAGAACTGAGTCTCCAAAGTTGTCCTCTGAGCTCCATGTGTGAGCCGTGATACACACTCCCCTACTCACATCATAACAAATATACATAATAAAATCATAATAGCAAAGAAAAGCTAGCATTGCACACTCTTCTCTCTTTATGTTTGTTAGGTACTGGTAAAAATGCCATGCATATTTAGGAATGTCTTACCAACAGAGAATACTCTCAAATGTGATTTTTGTTGATGAGTGAAAAATACTACCTCACTCCTATTCCCTATCTCGAGCAAGGATAAGGAGCTTTTCACATGGTTACATGGTCTATGCAGACTTTTAAAAAGTTAAATGGAACTGGTGAGCCAGCTTCGTAAGGCTCGCTGTGCTAGCCCCACCTTGGAAGCGTTGAGTGACAGCTCCAGTTGTCAACAGTCAATAAAAACAGTAGCAGATGTGGAGTACACAGATTGAACACAGATTCCCAGCACTTTGGGAGGATGAGGATGACAACTGGGTCAAAGCCATTCCATGGCTATCAAGACCGTCTCAAAGCAGAAACCGTCACCTTCTAGTAAGCACTTTAGTTTCAAATTTGTGGAAAAGCATCTAAGATAACATTCTTACACACTTTACACCATTTCTAACTAAATAGTATTAACTCCTTGCTTTGTTTGGATTTTTTTGTTCTATTTTTCAAGACAGGGTTTCTCTTGTGTAGCCCTGGTTGTCCTAGAACTCACTCTATAAATGACCACCAGGCTGTCTTCCCAAGAACTGGGATTGAAGGTGAGGCACCACCACCCAGCTAGGATTTCATTATTTCTTAACTCTCTCCCACTCTTTGGGTCCAGGATCCCATCCAAGATATTGTATTTGGTTTTTACCTCCTGGTCTGTGAGGTTTTTGATACTGGTGGTTTAAGTATAGAAGGCGACAGAAACGGCCCTCCTTTGACCTCTACTGGGTACATGTCTCTCTCTACCATGAAGATGTGCATAAAATATACACATCCTCAGCTTATGAGCGCTTGTATATATTATGTGAGCACACAGTTCATTCCCACTGAGGCTGTGTAGAAGGTGAGACCCAGCAAGAGCTTCAGAAAGGATGCTGAACCAGCAGCGCCTTGTAACCATTTGTTTTTTCTATGTCTGACCCAGTTCCCAAATAATGACACGGAGGCTTATTTATTTATGAACCATTACATAGGCCATACAGTAGGATTGTTCCCCAACAAGCTTGCAACTCTAATAACCCAATTACACTATTTTACATCTACCAGAGTTGGTTACCTCCCAGTTTCATTTTTTTTAAAAAGAATTATTTATTTTATGTATATGAGTATACTGTAGCTGTCTTCAGACACAACAGAAGAGGGCACCAGATCTCATTACAGATGGTTGTGAGCCACCATGTGGTTGCTAGGAATTGAACTCGGGACCTCTGGAAGAGCAGTCAGTGCTCTTACCCGCTGAGCCATCTCTCCAGCCCACCTCTCAGTTTCTTATGTCCAACTTCCTCCACATCTCAGTGGCTAGTCTCTCAGGCCTGACTCTTTCCAAGTTCCCATCTCTTTGTTGGATATCCCACCTTATCATCCTACCTTGCTATAGGCCGCTTAGCTCTTTATTGACAGGTGATGCTTTTACAGTGAGCAAGAGATTATCCCTACAAGACAGTAAGTCCTTTTAAACTCTTTGCTCAGATGCCTATTAGGTTCCATGAAAGCTGATTTCATAGGTGGATTAGCCAAGTCACCTCTGAACAGTGGGTAGTGAATGGAAATAAAAACACTGGTAAAATTTTAAAAATTGGTTTTTATTTTTTTCTTTTTTTCTGTTTTTTTTTTTTGTTGTTGTTGCTGTTGTTGTTGATTTATTCATAAGATGGCTACACCACAGGACAGAACAGTGCCCTTGAAGGCAATTAATTTTCACACTTTTTTAGCAAAATACAGGTAGCCCTGTAAATACCTTCCCTCCATACTCTTCACCCTCTTTTTTATCCCCCCCACCCCATGTTTGTGGATGAATAATTCACAAAAAAAAAAAAAAAAAAGGAGAGAAAGGTTTAATACACATCTGTCCTCTCCACCCACCCCAGTTTTAGCTTTTCTCCCCAAGGCTGATGACAAAGGCATGTGAACTGGAGTGGACGTACCAACTCAATAGGACCAGTGTTGGGATCTCCATGAAAAGCAACTTTGACTCTGGCTAGTCCTGACTACCATCGCTAACCATGATATAAGCAGAACAGGCTCCTTGTCTGGACATCTCTAAAGGTGGAGGAACAGTTGGAGGGCAGGGCGTTTCCTCTATTCACCTGTGTTTAAAGGCAGGAGAGCAGAGACGGCCCCTACCTCTTTAATTCCAACTGTAGCTATGTTACTCACTTGCATTCCCACATTTCCCTAAGGTAATGTGTCTGTCTCACAGAAGGTTCTCACTGTCATGTTTCAGTGTGTACACTGCATGCTGGTGTGTGTCTATCGTGTGCGTGCAGCATCTGCTACCAGGTGCGTATTTCAGTTCTGGTTTCATCTCAGCTTTCCTTTTTGTAAAGTTTTCTTTTCTTTTTCTTATTATTTTTTTTAACTTTCCTTAAATTATTTTTCCTTTTAGAAAGAAGTTCACCAGGAAACTAGTTCCCCTCCCACCGCGCCGGACAGGCTGCAGCCATCCTTAAAAGTCGCACTGTTTCTCCCTCACGTCCCAAACAAGGACTCCTTAGGATGCTGAGGAGGGTGAAGTCTCTCCCTGTGGCGGGATGGTCTGGTGGTAGTGAGGGCCCCTCTGCCACAATGGAGGTTCCTGATTGTGGGACACAGTCTGGGTTGTTTTCTTCCTGTCTTCTAATAAAAAAAGACATTCCTGACAAAAGAGAAGAGATAGTCTAGTGAGCTCCAGAGGAAGTGAGCAGGGTGAGAAGGGTCAGAGCCAGCCTGGAGGCATGTGCTGTGTGCTCCATTACAGAACTCTGGTTAAGAAACAAGCAAAACCAAAGTCTGGCTTTTTCCAACTTGCAATTCCAAGGTAACATTCA